AAGACACCAGACTGATAAGTAACTTGTATTGGAATCAGAAAGCAGCAGTGAGAATAGATGATGAAAAGACAGATTGGATTGAAATAAAGAGAGTAATAAGCCAAGGATGTGTATTATCACCAGATTTGTTTTCATTATTCAGCCAAGTAGTCATGGATGAAGGTATTTCAGATGGTGGAAGGAACGTAAACATCATCAGATATGCAGACGATACAGTACTGACAGCAGGAGAAATTACAAGCATTACTGAGCAAGCTGAAGGAAGAAGGTATAAGTAAAGGATTGAGAATAAATGTAGATAAGACCAAAGAGTAAAGAGAAAGTGAATGTGAAGATAAAAGTGGGAGATAAGGAAGTAAAGCAAGTTGAAAGTTTTTTATATTTGGGAAGTACCATTCATGATCAAAGGACCAGTGGAAAAGTGCTTGCAAAAAGGATTGGTTTGGAAAAGAAAGCATTAGGTGGTATGGACAAGATCTTGAAAAATTTGAATATGAATATGAAGGTTTGAATAAGGATTCTGAAGTGTTTTGTGTGGTCAAAGTTGTTATATGGATGTGAGATGATCAGGAAAGATTTGAGAAATAAAGCAGAGGCAACAGAAATGTGGTTTTTACGAATGCTAAGGATACCACGGACAGATAAAGTTACTAATGAAGAGGTGCTGAGAAAAGCTGCTGGGATGAAAAGAGAATTAATGGGAAATATTGAGAAGAGTCAATTACAATTTCTTGGTCATATGCTAAGAGTGCATGGTTTGGAAAGAGACTGCTTACTTGGAAGAATAGATGGAAAAAGAACTAGAGGAAGACAAAGGATGAAATACATGGATAGTTTAAATGATGGAGTGGGTGGAAGGTATAAATTGGTTGATTTAGTTAGATTAGCAGATGATAGGAGGATATGGAGATTCATGATCGCTAATGTAAAAAAAAAAAACTTATGTTCCAAAAAGAAAAGGTAAATATTTCAGAAAACTATTTCCAAGCAAACCAGGTGAACATAACATGTTGCCAAAACTGGATAAAAAATAATTTTCATTACAATCGTGCCTTGTCATTCCAGAAATGATTATCCTTCACACATATTATAGTCTCTAGTCTACTAGTAGTATTCTATATGTCTTTAAACTTGGACTTGGATGCTTTTCTGACTCACATGTAGCCCAAAATATGAGTATCAGGATTACTTGAGGTATGCCTCTCACTGGTTGTAGGGTTGGGAGTTGTATGCAGGGCTTACACGAACACTCATGCATGGTGTCAAAACCGCTTGCCTCGCTTTTGCAATGTAATCTCTTTTTCTTCATTTTATCATCATTATCTTTTGCTTTTTTGGCTTTTTTCATTGTCTATATTTGTCATCTGATATGCTGTGTCTAGATGGTAAAACCTTGTCTTCCTTACACAGACTCCATATAATCTCTCTAAGTCCATAAATCAGTACAATTATAATAACACAAGTAATATTTTGTTATTTGTGTTATTCTATATATATGTATTTTTTGTAATATTCAATATTCTACAATACAATCTCTGCTGCTGCTCTCAGTGGCTAGAAACAGGATAGGATCCTGAGCATAGAAATAGTGTCCTTCCTGGAGCTAATGCTCGTCCATCTGTGGCTCATGGATGGTAAATACCACACTCGCTTAGCGAATGCCCACTAAGTCTAATCACCCTCTAAGAGCTTTGTGGACTTGTGGAGAGTCATTCCCATCACCAAGCCTTCAGCTGTAATTCTCATGACAGCATATTCCTGACACACACACACACACACACACACACACACACACACACACACACACACACACACACACACACACACACACACACACACACACACACACACACACACACACACACACACACACACACACACACACACACACACACACACACACACACACACACACACACACACACACACACACACACACACACACACACACACACACACACACACACACACACACACACACACACACACACACACACACACACACACACACACACACACACACACACACACACACACACACACACACACACACACACACACACACACACACACACACACACACACACACACACACACACACACACACACACACACACACACACACACACACACACACACACACACACACACACACACACACACACACACACACACACACACACACACACACACACACACACACACACACACACACACACACACACACACACACACACACACACACACACACACACACACACACACACACACACACACACACACACACACACACACACACACACACACACACACACACACACACACACACACACACACACACACACACACACACACACACACACACACACACACACACACACACACACACACACACACACACACACACACACACACACACACACACACACACACACACACACACACACACACACACACACACACACACACACACACACACACACACACACACACACACACACACACACACACACACACACACACACACACACACACACACACACACACACACACACACACACACACACACACACACACACACACACACACACACACACACACACACACACACACACACACACACACACACACACACACACACACACACACACACACACACACACACACACACACACACACACACACACACACACACACACACACACACACACACACACACACACACACACACACACACACACACACACACACACACACACACACACACACACACACACACACACACACACACACACACACACACACACACACACACACACACACACACACACACACACACACACACACACACACACACACACACACACACACACACACACACACACACACACACACACACACACACACACACACACACACACACACACACACACACACACACACACACACACACACACACACACACACACACACACACACACACACACACACACACACACACACACACACACACACACACACACAAAAAAAAAAAAAAAAAAAAAAAAAAAAAAAAAACAAAAAAAAAAAAAAAAAAAAATCTGCCACTACTACTACTACTACAGTGAGTATTACATATTCCTGGCAGTAATGGGTTAATGCTGTATATACATAAATGGTTTTAGAAACACTTGCTGACCAATGAGTCAATTAGTTGACCTCACCTCTCCATTTTCATTACCGTTATCATTGTTATAAACATTACAATGATAGTAATTCTGACTGCCACAGAGCCAAAATTTTCCATAACAGAATGTTCACATCACCAGACCCTTAAGCCAATTTTTTTCATTAAATGATGGTCACGTCATCTGGATCCTGGCATCTCTTGATGCCAGGACTGCATGTATATATGCCCTGGCCACTATGGTTTTATTGTATCAACCCATTGCCCATGGAGATGGCACATATGTACATGCCATGCTCACTGCAAGTTTAGTTTATCAATTGTGTTTACACATAGATGGCTATATGAGTGCTTACTAACAAAGAAGTGACTAATTCTCTTCAGAAATATAAACATTTTTTACATTGCTGTTAATATTGTTAACCCAATGGCGCCGGATGTACAAAACAAAAAAAAAAAAAAAAAAAAAAACTCTACGCTTAAGCAAACAAAAGCGGCGCGCCGACTTTGAGCACGTGAGTAGGGGACATCAGCCCGAATCACTGGCTCGCCGCGCTTTGGCGCGCCACCGGCTCGTTTGGCTGCACGCCAGCTTTCGAGCGCTTTGTTTACACGCCGATTGGCGTCACCCGGCACCAAGGGGTTAATTGCATTATAATAACCATAATGTCAATAGGAATAAGAACAGCATCATTTCAACAGCATAAGGAGAGGTCATTTAGACCTACTAATTGACTCCTACTACTACTAATTGACCTGCTACTACTACTACTACAGTGAGTATTACATATTCCTGGCAGTAATGGGTTAATGCTGTATATACATAAATGGTTTTAGAAACACTTGCTGACCAATGAGTCAATTAGTTGACCTCACCTCTCCATTTTCATTACCATTATCATTGTTATAAACATTACAATGATAGTAATTCTGATAAAAATAACATATAATAATATCACTAATAATAAACGTAGAAACCTTTTTCCTGTAATTTCAAGGAATAGGGTAAACAGGAGATATAAAGTATGGCAAGTAATAGACTCCTTGGTTACTAAGCACATGAGAAGCAATCTATGTACATACAAAATTAATAAAAAAACAATGGACTGGATGTACTTTGCACTAATGGGTTACAATAACAGATCTTCACATCCCTGTCGTTAATTCCCCACAAACAGTAAAACTGCCATTTAATAAACATCTGATGCCAGTTGTTTTCTTGATAATTTGTCTATTATTACAGATCTGATCAGACTGTTTGAGTTATCTGTTATTACTGATCTGCTGGTTTATTTGAAATAATCGAAAAGGATTCACGCTGCAAAACTACCTTACCTGTACACACACAAAAAGCCTAGAAGCTCTGAATTCAGTTAAAGCAAGATGTCGGAACCATACTAATTGACACTGCAATAAGCATGATTCCACTGCCCTTACAAACTATTATGGTTTATTTCAAATTTGTAATTTGGGTTACACAGATGTTGCTAGCCCTTGGTTTTAGAAAATAATAAGCATACGAATAGCACCAAACTAAGAACCATAATGGCTCACCTAACATACAAAACTTTTATCTCTAAGCTCTCCTAACTAATTCAACATCAACAACAAAGAGGTGGAGCAAAATCAACATACAAATGGAGGGAAAAAAAAAAAAAAGAATCTGACACACAACTGCTCCTTACAGTTCTCCAAGTGATATCTAACTTTCTAAACATATATTCTACAGCTTTCTGAGGTCCAGTTTACAACTTCCATGTGGACACATAACAGGCATGCCCAAATGCTGACAGACAGAAGCCACTAGCAATTAGCCCGTTCTAGAAGCGCGTACCTTGGGTGCAAGACTGGCAGCACTAGAGTTGTTGGTGATAGTGGTGGGGGTGGCAGGTAAACTTGCCGTGGAAGAAGGTCGCTGGCCGGCCGGACTTTGAGCCTCCTGAAT